GCTCAGATAATGCAAGGTGATGCATGTTTTCATACCAATTATTGGTTTCTTAATTTAGCAAATAGGATTTTTGACTGCATTTAAAGAGGAAATTGGCAAATCAATACTAAATTTTCTGTAGAATAAAGTCATAAAATAACTCAGGTTACCACAGAAACAAATTTAAGCAAACTGGTACCACAAATCAAGTAATTAGGCAGAAAGAACCATTTAATGTCTTCAAAAATTAATGATTTATGATACTATGTCATGTTTGGGACATAAATATTTATTATCTTGCATTTTCTGATCCTTCAACCCTTTCTAATAAAGGGCAACTCAGACAAGTCCAAGCAGCAAACAGTAAGACAATACAATGTTGTATTTGCCTCTCCCTTGAGAAGCAGAAAGCACATTTTATGTCAAATTACTCCATGCACAGGGAACATTGCAATACTGTGTACCTACAGCCATCCATGGATTACAGAGTCTCCTGTGTACACCTGGCAACAGTCTAATAAATTTAAATTAAACTTCCATAAAGTAGACAGAGGCAGTCTTTTTAGTCTTGCCCTACAGTACAGCAAGAAATGTATTGTGCTCTGTATTTGCCTTATTACTTAGTTCTTCCTGCCAAGAAGCAAATTTCCCTAAACACCAGAAGCAGAGAGAGAACTTTAAGGTTTAAATCCTTATGCTCTTTCAGCTGGACATCAGCAATAGCCATTTCTTCAACAACTCACAACGCAAAGGGTTGTTATTTTCCCTGCAGGACTCTAATCTGATAAGGAGCCAAGACTCAAGCCAAATCTCAGCAAAAAGAGAAAGAAAAAATATTCTGTCTTCTTTACTTTCCCCTTGCTCACAGAACATTACCAAACTGGCCTTTAGTATAAGTTCAGCACACAGAAGTAATTCTTGAAAGCCCATTGGTGGAATGTGCATTTCCTTCTCCTTTCAGATTGAAAAGGAAACTTTCTGTGAGTTTACCGTAATGGAGTATTTGTATCAAAAACACCCTGACCTCTCCAGAAATAAGATTAAATACCAGCAGCCCACTCTGTCACTAGTTCACTATTAGGAAATTACATGGGAGGAAAGACACAACATAAAATTCACAGGAAGAAAAATAGAAAAAAAGAAAAAAATGTATCAGTAGTGGTGGGAGTGAATGAAGAAGCTTAATAATGAAATCAGTAAAAACAAAAGCACCCTCTGGCCAATTGATAATAAAAGGTTACTTGAGGCAAAGGGTCAAATCCTGAGCAGTGCACACTGGCCCAGCTTCTCCAACCTCAGCAGAGCAATAGTGATTTATGGCAGCTGCAAAAAGCCCCAGGAGACAGAAAAACCCAGCTATAAAAATGGTACTGGAGGCCCACATTTTGAAAAGCTTCCACTCACTTTTAGCACCAGACTGAGGTACAGAGGTGACTCTGAGGGTTTGTTTCTGCGGAGGAGCTGCTATGAAGTAAGCTGAAGTGTGAATTTACACTGCATTTATTCTGGGTCTTAAGTAGGCTGTAAATTCACACCCAACCTATTTTACAGGGATTTCCCCAAGTATATAAGCCCTAAATTTGCCTCCTAATCATGGAGGTACATGAAATAAATAGATGCTTTCAAAACTGCAGACCCACACAGGAATCTCTCTTGCTTGTAGGGCAAGTGGGTACTAAATAGTATATATTGTATTATAGTCCTGCAAGTGCATGGTGCCATTCTTTCAACCACTGACCTTAAGCCCCCCTGCAGTCATCTCTCTCAAGATCTTCTGATACCCCTGGATCTATTCCAGCTTCATGGCAGACTTGCATATGCCAGCACCTGGCTTCTCTCCCTTCCCCATTCCAGTTCCACATACAGAAGTCCACATTTCTTTACCTGACCCTCAGTGGGAGCAGTGACTCCTCATCCTCGTGCAGAGGTGTTGTGTCCTACCAGCTTCCTACCTCTGAACTAACCTAACCATGCTCTGCTCATTCATGACTCACCCCCAGAAGCACTGGATCCCTGGGTTAATGCATGTCCTTTGAAACCTCCTTCAGAGTCAGAAGGTTAACTCCATGCCAAGAAATGCCAAGAAATGCCAAGAAGCTGGGCAAGATTATTCACACTTTTTTGGCTGAAAGATGCTTTTACACACAGCCAAACAGGCAGCCAGAGGCCTTTGTCAGGAGCCAAGAGGAAGCAGCTGGTATTGTCACAGCCTCATCTGGGTCCTCAGGATGGGGATTTGGTCTTCAGCAGGCTGGGGTGACCAGCTTGGATCACACAAGGCCTGGGCTCTTTCCCTGGAAGCAGCAATGAGGCTGTAATGGAGCAGAGCATTTATGTCTTGGCTAATTTGGGATGTTGCACTGCTTGAACAGCTGCCTGTGCTGGCTCAGGTGTCAACTAAGTCCCACCTGCGGCCGTACCACTCTGATACAGTGACAGCACGGTATCCTGAAGGATCCTTCTCAATAAGTCAATTTAGTAATATTCTCTGTCACCTGAAGCAAACACCAGGTTTCTCAAAAGCAGACTGGAAGGCTTCCCTTCAGTGAAATGCCTTATTCTGCAAAGCATGAAAGACTGAAAGTCAGTTTAGAAGTTTTAATTTTCAGGGTATAATTTCTTTCATTTGTAGCTTTCCCAGGATATAAATTTCCTGTCTGTCATCTCTCTCTCAGTATTTAATACTCCACAGCCAAGCTATTCTAAGTCCTTACTGAGCCTACCATTTATAAGGTAGAACTATAATATAATGATAACCACCAGCATATTCCCTAAACAAGGCACCCCAGAGAATTCAGTCGCCAAAACACATTCCTCAAGGCAAACGAACAGGGCCCTCCATGTTATTTTAACAACCTACTATCCCCTGAAATCAATGACAATACTAATCTATTTATCTTTCAAGTAGACAAATGTACATGACTTTCCCATGCAATAACATACTGATTAAACTTAGAGCATTTCAGGCAGATCGTATTTCCTATTATTATTACTTCTTATTAGACCTTATTAACCCTCAAAGGAAATTCCACACAAAAACACAGCATCAAAAAGCCAAGAGCATGTAAGAATTCAATCTGTATTTCAGCCAAAATTCAATGATTCCTTTTAACTGCTTCAGTTGCAAAGTTTTCAGAAGAACACTAAGCTTTCCTTTGAGAGCTAGCCAGTAGAAGGATCATGGCTCTCGTCCTTACCCTGTCACATAGTAGGGAGGCCTTTATTCCCTGTTAAATATAAAATATTTAAGAAAAACAAAACCAAGAAACAAACTGGGATTTGGTCAAGAGTTCATGCTGGCTGAATCACTGTGGTATGGAAACCACCAACTCTAAAGATGGAATGTCCAGAGCAATTTATTACCTCAAAGAAAGAGAAGGAAAAAGAAGAAAAAAGAGGCCCTCAAGACCCATTTAGCTTGCTGGTTAGCTTCCCCAACACCTAAAACATAAAAGAGGCTACCTTTTGACAGATGCCTTGATCTTTTTCCTCTTCATGTCTCTCAGAGCACAGCCAGCAATTTGATCTGCACCACAGTTTTTCATATTGGGTGCAGTGAGAATTGTTTAAATGTCACTACCTGGCTCAACGTGCAGAAATACTGTAAGGTCAGGGCACTGCTTCTTTCCTGTACATCCTGCACCTATTGCCCTCCTCAGCCTTTCCCCAAGGGAAAAAAAAAAAAATCTACATACTTTACAGATTGAATATGGCCAGTTTCTAAGTAGAGATCAATTTAGACTTCTCTGGATTGCCTCTAGTTATCTAAGAGGTTCCAAGGAAATATCGCTCAGAAGCAATTAAGGTCAGCTGCTCTTGGACAGACAATGGAAACATTTAGGGAGGCATCACAGCCATTTTGAAAGAGGCCTGGAAAATCTTAACATTGTTAAAATGTGCCTTCACAACTGCTGATAGGATCTAGTAATGATGTCTGTGTTGCGCTGGTGCATTTCATTGCCTTTCACAAGCCAAAATTTTACCAGCAAATCATTTTAGCTAACTTTAAAAGGCAGTGTAGTGCCCATTGCTTGTAGCAAGAACAGTTCCTGACAACAACCTCACCATACATTTTTTGCTTTCCTTGTTTCCAAAGTTCCATACAGAAACACATTATACTTAGGCATTAAATACATTTGTCTCAGTTAACCATCATGTTATTTGACATAATGCTGTCACTAAAGCCAAAAATCCTATCAGCTTCCAGACTTACCTGAATGCTGTGCAGCCTTTTTGTCCATGCTGGATGGGGTGACTAAGAACTGCAGCACAAATGAGATGAACCTGTGCTGCAGAACAAGAGAGCTGGTCCAGAGGCTAAATACTGTAACATGAGGAAACCTTGGGTCTGCAACATATTTCCTTACATAGACTTATCTCCATCATTTATCTCTCTGTGTCCCTGCTCTGTAAAATGGTACTTTTATATAACAGTCTCTGTGAGAATATGGTAAGAAGTGGCACATTGACAGGGAACATAGAAATACCTCTGAATCTATGATAACTCCACATTACCAATCAATCATCTTAAACACTCAAAAATGAATGATTCCATAGAATGTTACAGCAGAAGTGACTCACAAAAGACTGAAGGAATCAACACCCTCATGAACTGCATTCAGTTTTGTGAGTGTAAGCTTTAAAGGGTTCATTTACCATAGTGATTGCATTTGGAATCACTATGGTAAATTTGGAATTTGGAAAGCAGTCTTTGAAAATTTAAGTATCTTTCTACAGAGTAAGCTGCCAGCTAGCTGCAATGTTATTTCATAGCACTGGTGTCAATGACCACAGAAGCCTTCCAACTCAGCAAAGCATCCTCCAGGATGTCTTGATAAGAAGATCTATAAAAACTGCACATTCAAAAGCCTGGGACTGTTGGGCACTAGTTTTGCACGCTTAATGGAGCTGGTGCTACAAAGTGCTTCTAACCCTATCAAAATTTCACAGGCAATATGTCAGAAAGCAAAAAATACTGAAATAGTAAATCACAGTAGACTTCAGATAGGCACCAACTTTACCTACAGAGGCTTGCATCAACCAATGAATCATTCTCCCTTTCTCTTTCCTGCAGGGCTTATATATGTCCTGCAGTCATGACAGCTCCTGGTGACCTCCTCTGGTGCCCCAGTCCTTTGGACTTTCACTGCTCTCAGCTCCACATGCTGGCAGCACCTGTAACATGAAATAGTACATTCTGAGTATTCCCTCTGCCCCCTCCCATTACATCAGTGTTCAAGTCTGGAGTAGCAGTGTGCTTCTGAAGCCAGAATGCCCCACATACTGTGCAGTCTCCAAGCACAGACCAGATTCCTTTCAGATGGAACTAAGCTGGAAGAGGTACCCCAGCAACACAGGCAAAGTACAAAGGCCTCACATGGTGTGCAGGCCAGGGGCCTTCAGCAGAGCTGAAGCTCTCCAGGTCCACTCCTAGTTCCTACTACCATCACTTGTGGAGAAATTGCCTTGAAGTAGCAGACATTCTTTCTTCTCCAGGCAAACTTAACAAATCTTTTCTAATCTGTACAATGACCCAAAACATACTTTGTTCTTCTCCAACCCCTCAAAAAAACAGCTTGATGCCCATCTTTTCAGACATATACCCAGCCAGCACCTCCAGTGGATCATAACATTTGAACTGTTACATTTGTTGACTAGTCATTAAAATTGTCATCATTTAGGTCCTTGCCCATCTGCCACTGTCTGCCAGAGTATTCTGTCACTCACCTCTTCCCTTTTACCTATTTCTAGTCTTCCTTTTGGACTCATTTGTCCTGTTATTATTTTAGCTATGAATAAATCTCAAACTCATCACTTACACCAAATTAATATGAAGTAGCACAATTTCCTGTTATTTCTTAGATTTCATGAGACTGAATTTCTATATAAGTTCTACCAGTGCAATCTGAACTTTCACATTACCTACAGAGAAATCATGTCCTTTTTTCTCTCCATTAACTGTAGCATCCCGTTGTGGATCCACAGAACTGAATGGAAGGACCTCAGCTGAATGCAAGAGACAGTCCCCTAAATGCACTTAATGAAGTCATTCAAACAACTGATGCTATTTATATTGAATTTCATGACTATATAACAATCGGAGACAACCATGTATGTTCTGTGTCTTTAGAAAATACATTTTTCCTGTTATACAATCTGAAAAATACTGGTTTTGTTTTAATGTAATTGTAAGAATCAAATTTATATACAAGACCTTTAGAAAACAGAGACCCACCTCTAAATGCAAAGAACAAATATTTGCATTACCTATTTATATTAAAATATGCAGAAATTTCCAAAGTATTCAGTCAACTTATAAATTTTTATAACTTCTTCGGATTGTTAACATTTTTTAACACACAGCATTATTTCAGCTTTGTGGAAGGCTCAATAACAATCTTTCTGGTCTGGAAAAAAGGAAAGAACATTATAATAAAGAATGCAGAATAAATAAAAACAAAACAGTACAAGACGTACATCCAAGCATACAAAGACAACTTTCATGGTGAGCTATAAGCAAGTATAATAACACAATGTGCTGCATGTTGATTTCACCAATGAAAAGAATTTCTCCAGTTATTGAAGACTTTCCTGGCAGAATTTCAGAAAAAAAATTCTGACATTCTCCCAAACTGACTTCTGTGCAATGCAAGTCATGCACATTTTAAATACCAATGAATAATACTGCCTTTCTTCTGAGAACTGTTAACAGCTGTAGAAACTATTATAGCCTGTTTAAAATCATCTCTGTAGTCAATACTCTTCAGACACTTAGCAATACTAAAGCTATTCCAGGGACTAAACTAGAATTACTATGTTTGATTTATGTTGAAATGAAACAACAAACATCTGATCTTTAATTTTTTTAAATAGCCATTCACATAAACCCAAGAATCAGCTGCATAACTAGAAAATAATAGTTTGAAATAAAGGAAAAAACTTAGCAACCGAAAAATCTCCACCCGCTTGAACTGTGTATAACTTCCGCCCCACGTTGTCCTAAAAATCTCCCAATTGAGCAGAATTAGAATTAACTTTAAAATGTTTAAAAATCCAATGAATATATCTCTTTAACTCCCCTTTTGAAAACTTAAAATTTCCTGTATTAAGGATGCCCACAACTTGGAGATAAAAGTCCTTCTCAGGAGGGCTAAGCTTAGGCCTACTAAGGTTATTGCCCATCCTGGTCCCTTTCCCCACTCAACGATAAAAGAGGAACAAAAAGCAAAAAGTCCCCAGAAATATGAAACTTACAATTTTCTTCAGGCCAATGCCTGCTGGGCCAATGGAAAACCGATGGGCAGGTTTTCCAATGGAAAATGGACAGCCGGTCCTCAAGGGCTCTCTTCCTTTGCCCCAGATGATCATTGAGGGTCCCGGTCGATACCCTTCAGATTGCCCCTTGCTAAAACGCAAGGGAGTGGCAGTCCCAACAGCGGCACACACCACAGTGAGAACTGCAGGCGGACACTTCTTCAGGGGCTCTTCGGATGCCCCATGTTGGGCGCCACTTGATGTGACTGGGTCAATGGCAGGGGGTGCCACGACTACCCTGTAGAAGCTGTCCTGAAAAGGACAGCTCAGGGGCACAGGCACGTCCCTTGCCCGGCGAGTGGTCTCAGCTCAGAGGCAGCTTGCAGGCAACACGGAGAGAGAGATTAGAGCGCTGTATGGCATTCCACCGAGAAGTAGCCTTTATTATAGCAGGGCCCTCAATGAAGGGAGCCAGTGACAGCAGCTCCCCGAACTAGGGAAAACCTGGGGTTTATATAGGGAAAGAGAGGGGAGGGGGAAACTTGGATACATGTATCAGGGTGGACTGATAGGGAGAAAAACCAATGGGGTGCAATAAATTAGCATGCCTAACTCAAGGACCTCTGGGAGTGACACTTTTGTCTCTCTGAGAGAAAGTGCTTTGCCTAGGGAGAAGCTCTCCAGGGGAGAGCCAAAAATCTCTTGGTTGGCCGGTTCTCCAGCCCCCACAACGATGTACCGAATTTAGAGAAATTGGACAAAGGAAGACTACCCACAGTTACCTTCAAAAAGAAAAGATTTGTGAAAGGGTGAAAGATGGCTAGTTAAGATACTTTATACAGCCACGGCCACCCTAATATCTTTGTGGCGAGTCTGTGGTTTATAAGTGTTATTTCATTAATCTAGTTTTTCAAGTTTTCTGAAATACACAAAATTATCAGCAGCCCAGTCCAATATCTTGGCAATGCTCATCACCAGCTACTTCAGACAGATCACAGGTACAATGGACTGCATAATAAAATCATCCAGATACATTCAAGAGGAAGTTGAGATCTCTGTGTGTCTATTAAATAAATTAAATAATAATTATTTAATAAATAAATAAAATTGTGTCTATTTTTTTTTTCACATCACAGAGCATAGGTGGGAACAGGAGAAATGCTCTGTTGTGGCTACTCTGACATTCTGTAAATTATGACTGAAAAAAGAGACAAAACAAAAGTGGAACAAGTGCAAACTTCAAAAGGCATAAGATTTCAGATTATGTTCTACAGATTCATGTACATTACTGATTTTTCATTCTAACTGCCACCAAAATTCCTTATTTTTTACACATCTTCAATTTTCAAGAAATAAAAAGGCTAAGTAAATATCAGAATTGTTGAGGGTTTATGATCTCTGACAAAGACAGCAATTAATTTGACCAATAACAATAATAAAGTGAAGATTAAGCTAATTTCAAGTAACAGTCTCTTCTTTCAGAAGAGTGCCATAAATCAATCAGGAAACATTAAACAGCTTCAAAATAATTCTCCAGCTTCTTCTAGATTAATTCTGAATCTTTAGCTCTTAAAGTATCTAGAAAGGTGAAAGATAAGTTATTTGTTACCTCATTATTAGTTTTTCTTCAGTCAGTAAGTTACCTTATTTATAGCATCACACCTCATCTTCTAATCAGAGCTTTCACAGCAGTTTTTTTGTATTACCAGTATGGCACATGGACATTTCCACCTTCTCAAGCAGACATGCAAGTAGCAGAATAATCTGTGTGCCCTTCTGCTGCCCCAGGTGCCATCAAACACAGCTCTCCACATAGCGCCTGTGCTTGGCTGGGGAAAACACGACTATGGTATCAGTGTTGCTTTCCTAAAAGCCACTGTTAGTTCCACCAGTAACCTTTACTAAAAGGCATGACTGGTGCAGTTGCCCAAGGATGGAAACTCACTGTGACCAAAACCTGACTTGTCCAGCCCTGCTGTAATGGGACTGAGCAAGACCAATGACTCCAGAGGCAATACAAAGCTTGAAATGCTGAATGCAGACTTAACATAGAGCAGAAATGCTGTCATCCTCTCTACTTTAAGGTCAAATTCAAGTTCTTGTGCTCAAGATCCCAGTTTCCCTTTACAATGTCCTATGCCAGGCTGTTCCCAACACCCCTCTGCTTTTCTTCCTCCTTACTCACTCACTCTGCTTTTCTCACTCCTTTTATCCTCGTGGGTCTCCTTCTCTGTGCTCTGAGTCTTATCCTATACTGCTCTCTGGGCTAAGATCTCCCCCCCTGGGAAGCCTTTGGATGTCCTGTCTCAGTAAATTTGGGACAACACACAAATTCAATGGGAGTAAAGCTGACCCATATCATTGAGGCTCTCTTGCCAAGCACCCTTTATCCTTCCTCTTGCCTCATCCTGTCCTTATTTAGTGACTGTAACTCTGTTCCCTTCTTCTCCTTAGCTGTTGGCCTACACTTCACATTTGCCAATTTTGCCATACTCAGACAGAGATCCTACAGGCAGAGTACCAAGTTGTTAGATTTTCCCTTACTCTGTCTATAAAATGGTGCCTATTAAATGTTTCCCCATAACAACGGAAAGAGATAATCAATTTACAGCACCAAAGGAAGGAAAAAGTGTGCACATAAGTGGGAAGAGGACATACTGTTTTCTTAAATTGTAATAGGTAACTAAGGAACTACTTTTTTCAAAATCACTGATCATATACAAGGCAAAAAGGCATTGTTTAGAAAAAGCATAAGAAAGGCACCAAGGTTACTATAAACTATCATATCTTTGGTCTGGGAATTTCAGCTGGGCTCTTAATTCAGCACAGTTACAAGGTAGTTCTGCAAGTACAATCCTCTAGGGACTGCAAATGAAAATAAAAGTCATGTTCAAATCCACCGATTTCAAGGTCATGCATTTGAAATCAAGACAGCAGGGAACCAAAAAGCCTTGCAAAACTTACAAAATAAGCAGAAATCATGCAACCAGGAAATTCTCACAGGTATAACACCAACCTGGATCTGCTAAACTCAGTGGTCAGTAGTTCCACTAAACATAGTAAGAAAAATTAGGCTGTGAGTTAAGAGATCAGATAATTTGTAATGGGAGTCTAAGTGGACCACATGGAAAATTAAGTATCTTGGAATGAAGACAAGCTTATAGAAAAGGTGAAGCAATGGCTGTTTTGAGAACCCCTACTGGGCACTGCTATAGAGTGCTAATAACAGATGTCAAATGCACTAATGGCTGCAACACAGGCAGAAGGAGTCAAACAACTTTACATAATTATACAAAAAAGTGATTTCATCCATCACAAAAAAGAAATGTAACAGAAATGTAACAAAACAGAAATAACAGAAAAAAACCAGCATCTCTAGCATGTAGGCATAAGTGTAAGAACAGATCGTCCCAGCAATGGATCAGGATGATCTCTGATCTTTAGCACTATTTCCAGAATGACAAAACTTTTAGACAGGTTACCTCTTTACTTGTCTGTGGATAGGAAAGTCACTGATAACTGAAAAGCTCTTAAGCAACCTTCTATGCTGTTTTCTATTGCATCAATTGTACATTGACTGCTCAGAACTGAATGGTGCCTGGTATCACTATTCAAAAACATGTAACTATCCATCCAGATATTTACACTGCATCTCCTACTGCAGAGAGACTACAAATATGAGCACACAGGGGCAAACAATACTATTAACACCTCCTGGTTTGGCTGGTATTGCTGTGTTAGGGCAGTCCATGGGCAGGTGCTGTTGTTTCTGACAAGCCTGTTGGATAACAGCGACAGGAATCTGTCAGATGCAGCCCACACGCAGGATGCGTCCCGCACAGCATGCTGACCTCCTCCAAAGAAGTTTCATTTTAGAATTCTATGGAACATGTTACAAATACCAGCTGGCAATGTGCGATGCATCAGAGAGAAAAGGAAAGGCGCAACAGGCAGTACAAATAACATGGAAACACCCCTCCGAGGTCAGCAGTGGGGTTGCTGGAGCACACTGTGTGCTTGCTTGGAGAAGCAGGCAGTACCTGCGTGACAGAAGGATGCTTGGCCCATCAAACAAGGAAATGTGCAAAGGCACTTCTGTGCTTCTTGTACAATTCCCTGACTCTGCAGTTGCTAGAAGATTAACGCTGTCTTAAAGACAACTCAAGAAGCCTCAGGCTTGGCCAAGAATAAACCTAGTAATAAAAAAAACTAATTAAGTATAAGTGCCCTTACCTTCACAGGATCATATTCACACCACATGCAATTCCTTTCCCCCAGGAAAAGGCCCTTGCTGGTGCATACGATGCAAAGGCCTTGCACATGTCCTCACTACAACCACACAGCCTGCCATATCTTCTCCCCAGGATAAGGCAATTCTGAGGGACCTACTTACTCCTGATTTTCACCTTCTTTACACCACTTAAGGTGCTAAGCTGATGGAGATGAACTACCAGTCACACCTCCTAGGCAGACAATAAAATGTCAGAGGCTCCCAACTAGTAGAAGAGCCTTTGCACACCCAGCCATGGCAGCTCAGGGTGTGTCTGCTCCCATGCAAGAGGTTACAGGATCCACAGGAGAGCTTTGCAGTTTAAATTATCAGACCACCCACCTGAGCCTATGAGGCAAGTGTGTGTCCTCTGTCTCCCACTCTACTGTGAGCAAGCTTCCCACTACTGGAGAGGGATTGACTGGATAGGTGTCAATACCTTGAGTTACACAAATATATTCGGGAGAGCATTTCAGCAGCATGCTGAGAGCTCGGGTTCAGTATGGTATGCAACAAATAACAGCAGTATTGTCTTTTTAACAAAAAGGTTTTTTAAAAAAGTCCCTGACATCATGATTTTGCTTTTGAAAATTCTATTAAGACCAGTGCAGAAACTATTAGCAACGAAGAGATTCTTTGAACACAAACAAAAGGATTCACCAGTCCCTCACTAGGAAGATGTGATATCATTGCATCACATATCCATGAGAAGGGCAGAAGAGATGCATTGTTTTACAGTACAGTGAAATGCTGTATTCACCAAAATAAAAGTATTAAACCTGCAAGTGTGTATGACAAATAAGAGGAGTAAAACTGTCAGTGCTCCGGGCAGTGACAATCAGATGCTTGTAAACACTATTGAACATATACAGTCTGGACTGGGATAAATTGCAAGCTGAGACTATATTGTACAAATTATACCACAGTCAAACCAGATTCTTTTCTATCTGATCCATCACTTCTTGCTTAATCCCTCAAGCCAAAACCAGTGAAATCCTTTCCTGATCCTTGTTTAGCAGCCATATAGTGTGTGTTCTGATATTCTCTTACCTAATTCAGAGTCGCATGCCCTCTGACCCACATCTCAGCATCTCAGAATAGGCACTCAG